CCCCGGACGGGGAGCCGCAGCACACGGGGCCGCAGGATCTTTTCACCGATGTTTTATTGGAAACGTTAAATACTGGGGGTCCGGCCCCGGGGGAGCCGGGGGGGCCGGTGACCCTCCTCACGCATGCTCTTCGGCCAGCTTCTCCGCCTTGGCCACCGCCTCCTCGATGGGCCCCACCATGTAGAAGGCCTGCTCCGGGAGGTGGTCGTACTCACCTGGGGGGAGACACCGTGTGGGTGGGGGGAGCAGGGTGCTGAGCCCAGCCCAGGCCCCCGGCTCCCCCCTCGCCCTGCCCGGGGCCCCCCGGGGGCCACCCCACCTGCCAGGATCTGCTTGAAGCCCTTGATGGTCTCCTTCAGCGGCACCAGCTTGCCCATGTGGCCGGTGAAGACCTCAGCCACCTGGAAGGGCTGTGACAAGAAGCGCTGGATCTTGCGAGCCCGGGCCACCGTCAGCTTGTCCTCTTCGGAGAGCTCGTCCATGCCCAGGATGGCGATGATGTCCTGCAGGGACTTGTAGTCCTGGGGGGAGAGACGGGGTGAGCGGCCGGTGCGGGGCTCCGTGTCCCCCCGGCCTCCCCGCGGGGGGCGGCCCCGGCCCCCTCACCTGCAGGATCTTCTGCACGCCCCGGGCCACGTCGTAGTGCTCGGGGCCCACAATGTTGGGGTCCATGATGCGGGAGGTGGAGTCCAGCGGGTCCACGGCCGGGTAGATGCCCAGCTCGGCGATGGCGCGGGACAGCACCGTGGTGGCGTCCAAGTGGGCGAAGGTGGTGGCAGGGGCAGGGTCAGTCAAGTCGTCGGCGGGCACGTAGATGGCCTGGGGGGGCGGGAGGGGACGGTGGGCCCAAGGCGGGCGCCGCAGCTTCCCCGGCGCGGCAGGGCCGGCCCTGCCCTCACCTGCACCGACGTGATGGAGCCCTTGCGCGTGGTGGTGATCCTCTCCTGCATGGTGCCCATGTCGGTGGCCAGCGTGGGCTGGTAGCCCACGGCGGAGGGGATTCTCCCCAGCAGGGCCGACACCTAGGAGGGAACGGAGCCCGTGAGAGGCCCACTCGAGGTGGGGGGCTGGGCGTCCCCTGCAGAGCGCAGCCCGGCCGCCACCACGAACCAGCACGCTGGCGCCCCGCGCCGAGCACACACCTCTGAGCCAGCCTGGGTGAAGCGGAAGATGTTGTCGATGAAGAGCAGCACGTCCTGACCCTCCTGGTCCCTGAAGTATTCAGCCACCGTCAAACCCGTCAGAGCCACTCTGGCACGAGCGCCCGGGGGCTCGTTCATCTGCCCGTAGACCAGAGCGACCTGCGGGCAGGACCCAGGTGTCGGCACGGCGCCGCTCTGCTGCCCGCGCCCCCGGCGCTGCCGGGACCCCCCCGGCCCCCTCAGGAGACGCGGCACACCTTGGAAGTGGCGTCTTTCAGGTTGATGACCCCAGACTCGATCATCTCATGGTACAAGTCGTTGCCTTCACGGGTTCGCTCCCCCACGCCGGCGAACACTGAGTAACCGCCGTGGGCTTTTGCCACGTTGTTGATCAGCTCCATGATCAGCACCGTCTTGCCAACGCCAGCACCTCCAAACAAACCTGGGAGGGAACGGGAATCCCGCTCAACCCCAAGCCGACCCAGCTGCCCCCGGTGTCTCCCTTCACCCCTTTCCTCCTCAGATCTGTAAGCGTTGCTTCAGCAAGCTCAGAAGAACGAAAGTCAAATGGGTACTCATCAGCGAAGGAAACTACTGCAGAGGGATCGGTCGTGAGCCTGGGCGGGGCAGAGTGTGAGCCCCCAGGAACTGCTCCGCGAGGCTGGCAGGGTGCTCCCCTCCCCAGACACCCCCCGTTCCTCTGCGGGCAACGTACCGATCTTGCCACCCTTGGCGTAGGGAGCCAGCAGGTCCACCACCTTGATCCCTGTCACCAGGATCTCCTGTTCAACGCTCATCTCCACGAACTCGGGGGCTTCGGCGTGGATAGCAGCAAACCTGCAGCAAGAGGTGGAGAGGAGCTGAGCAGCCAAACCGAGCCCCGCGGCCAGGGTGCTAGCAGGAGACTGGGCGAGTGCAGTCCCTGATCACGACCCTGGAGAAGACCAGTGCAGCAGGGATGCACTGCGTCCCTGTTTGCACATGGGTCGGCTACTCCAGAACCCGTGCCCCCAGCTCCAAACCCCGCACGATGCTCATCTCCCAGCCCGGGGTGTCACTCACTGTTTCGTCGTGATGGGGCCCCTCTCGTCGATGGGTTCCCCAATGACATTCATGATCCTGCCCAGGGTCTCGGGGCCAACGGGGATGCGGATGGGTGCACCAGAGTCCAGCACCTTCTGTCCTCTCACCAGGCCTTCTGTCCCATCCATGGCGATCGTGCGCACGGTGTTCTCCCCTGCCAAGGCCCAAGGACAGCGTCACAGCAGCGCCCTCGAGCTGACCCTGGGGACAGCTGCCGGTGGCTTCCCTGGGCCCTTGCCAAGGGAAGAGTCTGCAGGGAAGAGGACCGAGAGGAGCAGCAGGACCCAGGGACAAAACAGCAGAGAAAAACTGAGCCCAGGCCCCACTCAAACTGCAGCCCTGCAGGCCAGAGCCCTCCAGCAGCCATTTTCCGCCTCCTCAGATTGAAATCCATGGCTTCAGCAAGCTCAGGAGAACGAAAGTCATCAAGACATCATCACAGGAGGACCCCTCCCACCCTCTGCAGCCCTCCTGCGGCAGACGCTCACCCAGGTGCTGAGCCACCTCCAGCACCAGCCGGGTTTCCCTGCCCTGCACCTCAAGGGCGTTGAGGATGGGGGGCAGCCCCTCGTCGAACTGCACGTCCACCACCGCACCGATGACGGCCACGATGCGGCCGGTGGTCGAGCCGGCCTTGGCGGCGGGGGATGGCTGGGCTGCATAGTCCCGTCCTGGGGGGGAGGAGAGGGACAAGTCAAGGTCGGCCGGGAAAAGGGCAGCTCCGGGCTCCCCCCTGCCTCGGGGGCGCAGTGCTGGGGCTCCCCCGCACGCCTGGCTCCCCTGGGACGTGCCCGAGATCCCTGCACCCCTCCCGGTGCCGCTGGGACCCCTGCAGCCCCCCCGGTGCACCCGGGACCCCCGCACCCCGCTCTCGGTGCACCCGGGATCCCCTGCAG